CAGGCATGCACTTTACAAATATTATTCCATTTGATGCTTATACCAACATCGTGAGTTAAATACTGTCATTCTCATTTCATCGATAAGGAAAATTAGTAGCAGAAATGGTTAAGTAATTGCCTCATAGACACACAGCTAATGAGTGTAAAATTGTGATTTTAATGCAAATTTGACTTCTAAATCAGTACCCTAGCCACCCTGAAAATGGTGGCTTGCTACTTTCACTATGAAGCATGAACTATTATTACTTCTGACTGACATAGACATCAGATTTTTTATCAAAAGTTGTATGCTTAAATTTATCGGGCTAAACTAATAGTTAAATTTCATTAATTTCATATATTTTGCATGTCCAACTTTGGTATCCCAATTTGTACCATTGGGCACCACATAGCATTATAACAATGATATATAGATGGTCCTTCTCTCTCTCTGTCTTATTTTTCACTTTCCAAATTAGATAATATTGTGAAAAATTGCTTACTGTTATCAGTAATTAAGCATTACATGCCAATTACTCACAAGGAAAATCTGAGTTTCTGAATCTAAGCCATGGTAAAATAGATTTTGAAATAAAAATCAGGGTCAAATGTAAGCAATTGATTATTCTCACAATGGAGGGCAAGGAAGACGAAAGTAACTGCATTCAGACAGAACAGAGACTTCTCATCTCTACCTCTCATACCACTTTGCAGCCTGCCGAGTGTACAGTGATTGAAATTAAGTTGTGTTAGGACCAGACTTGGGGAACCCATGCTCTCAGTCCAGTGCTCCCACATTTTTTATTTTAGATATCCAAAAAGTACTCCAATGCCTTCTTGAGTTTTTAAAGATCAATCCTTTGAAGGTTTTCTCTTCATTTTTCTCTCCAACTGTTGGTCATTTGATTGAGATCAAACTGTTTTCCCAAGAGTTTAGTACATCATACTTTAGATAACTGCAAAAAACAGGTATACTTGATATATAATTCAATCAGAAAATTAATAGCAATGATAATTGTACACATAACATGTGGAAATTATTTAACCTTTAATGAAGCACAGAACAGTTTCTGGCCCAGGGTAGGTATTCGATGTTGTATTTGTTGAATAAATAGCAAAAAATAAATAATGTAACTAAGTCATATATGAACATGTTTTGTTAAAAAAAAAAGTCAATTCTTAGAGAGTTGTGAAACATCTTCTTTACATCTACCTTATTCTCAGTCTGTCAGTGTATGTTCACACACTCCTAATATCCATATATGTGGATTTCAGATTTATATGCAATATATACATATCGCACTGTGTGTGTACATATATGTATTTGCAATGTGTGTGTGTGTGTGTGTGTGCATTGCACTCAGTATAAACCTGAAATGCTTTTATCTTTTAACTTTTTAACTTATTACCATTTGGATATCAAAGTAATTACTTTTCTTGCTATTACTGTTACCAATCAGATAAGAGAGTATGATTAGGAAAACAGAGTTGATTCATTATAGCGCTATAGACCTGTGCTATTAGCCAACTGGCTGCCATTCTCATAAACATTATGCAATTTAAACTGGAAGATACCAGTGCCTGCTTCTATTAGAAACAAGAACCCTATTCTATTTCATAATATGCTCAATTACTTTTAGATTGATCCATGAATAAATTATAATCCAAAGAGTCTTCTTTACCTTAAAGCTTTGCTGGCTTAAGATATCATTGTTGATTCATTATGTTGTCACTTTTCTATCGGCAATGTAATGCTTTTTATATCTGGACAGAGACAGTTTTAGCATGAGATACTGTTATCTTTAAATGAGTAGAATTTAGCTTTTCTGGTGAGAACAAATTCATCAGTGATGAATCCCCGGAGAAACTATTGAAACAAAAATCACGCCATTTCTGAGCTTTTTTAGTTCATCAGTTACAAAGCAGTTTTTGATAGTCCTAAAGAACTTTTCTCTTTGTTTAAAAAATATAGCATGATGCTAAAAACTGCTCACTTTGAGTTACCTCAGGCTACACCTTTTTCTGTAGGAAAATAATGAATGAAGAGGGTAAGCTCCTGCTGCTTCTCCTCCTGCAATAGGAAATCAATTAACTATATGTTCAGGCAGAGATTTGAACTAAATGCTTTATTAATCATCACTGATTGCACACATACACTGTGGCCAACTATGCATTCATCTTCACTCTTTCTTAGATTTGTTTTGCTTTGGCTAGTTTCTTTGGCAAGATCAAAACACAAACATATGCCTAAAGGTAGTATTGCAAAGGTGATCCTTTGGCGCAAGAGAGAATCGATGTTTTATATTTTTGGAAAACTTAACTTTTAAAATGTTCAGTATTCAGATCTCCTAGAGGCATTTTAATACGTGTAATGTAATTTTTTAAAAAAGCACTTAACTTTCTTATACTAATGCAGAAAACAAAATACCTATGGCACCCGTAAAGTTGGGGAAGCTGCCTTGGCCTCTGGAATCTTTGTAGAGCAGTAAGAAACTACACAAATGGACCCTATTTGATTTGGAGATAAATGGTAGAAAGTTGAGGGGGCAGTCACTGATATTTTGTGTGGGTGTGCTTTTAATTTAAAGAAAAATTTGGCAACTGTTTTCCTTCTTTTCCATTGATTTTCTAAGCAACGTGCAAAGAAAAAATTGCAGGAATCTTTACATTAAATTGAGAACCTCTCTTTAGGACTAATTATTTAAAAATTGCACTTTAGATCATAGCACTGTTAGTCATGGAAAAGCTGCATAATTTAAATGTGACAAATGTCAAGCACTGCAAAAAATTACAGAAAATATCAGGCTGGTAGATGTTTACTCAGGCTGTAGTCTATTCAGCATCAAGAGATTTTCAAATATTATTATTGCTGTTGCTATCACCATCGTTGCAATAATTTAAAATCATCATCATTAAAATTTAACTACTTTATTTATCTCCCTTTGGTAAAGAATAATCAAAATGGAAAAATATCTTTTCTGGTCTGTTTAAAAGAAGATGAATCAAAAAGTGATAAGAACGATTTCCTTTGAATAACCTTTATGGGACTCTTAGGTGGCATTAGCTGGTGATGAGTGTGGTAAGACCCAATCAGAGAATCAAGATAATGGTTCAGATTTATAATCGAGCTTGCCATGAAGGGTCTGCTAGGACCAGAGGTCATGTGTTTCAAGTCTTAACCATACTTGATAATCTTTAAGAATATGAGATTAGGATTAAGGTGCCTTTGATGTGTAAGAGAAATATAGAGCGAGTGATATTCTGACAAGATTTATATCGCGTGGACATGCACTCACCACCTTCTAAGGCGTTATTGGGACCCCAGGGGCATCTCTTTGGCACCAAGTGCAATCCCTAACACCTCACTAGGAAAAAGACATTTCACAAGAGGATATTTCAAACAAGCATCATCTTTTCTACATTAGAGAGGCTATGTATGTAATGAATAGTGAAGATTTGTTTTATGCTCTTATTTATTTTATGCTTTTTAAAAATACAGCATCCCTTATTTTATGGTAAAATAGGATGGTAAAATATTCTCTCTCTCCATCATATCATTTCATATCATTGCAATAATTAAATATTGTAATTTAGGAAAGCATCAAGGTGTAGAGATGAAGTATATGGTTCTAGTTTAATCGTATATAAATTAACTTGGCATTTATAACATTGTTTCTATTTGCTTGACTTCTGGACATAATTACAGTAAATTGATAATGGAAGTAACAGTCTTAGATATCGCCACATAAATACCCTCTCCTAATATAAATTTTCAGTTGCAGTTTGGCTTAATTGGAACATCCTTAAAGTTCCGTTTCCCAATCCTACTGACACCTCTAGAGGACCAGAGAACTAGTTTTCCTAGGGCATTATGCAACCTGGCAAGTGGAGGCCAGTGTTTTGGGATTTTGCACCAAAGTACTTGCTAGGTCAGAGATCAGGGTGACCTTGAAGTGCTGTAGTTTTCCAGGCCACCGTCAGCTAGATAAATGGGCTTTATTCTGCAGGAGAGAAAGAGAGAGGGTGTTTTTGCAATCTTAAAAAACAGACCTAGCAATTCCAGGTTATACAGGCAGACACAGAACATTTGGAATTCAGTGGTGTCTGTCACCAGCAATATGTGTCGGTAAAAGTGAAGATCAAAGGTTCGAGAAGAGGAGAGGGACAAAGCCAAGAGGAAATAATTGTGCGATAATGAATAGTATGAGGGCATTTTCGTGTTAACTTGAAACCACTTAGCATTTTTCCATGACACCCAGGTATCTTTGTAAATGAACTTTGTGAAGTACAATTGAATAACCTTGAGATTTAAATCTCCATGGTGCGATTTCGAATACTGATGGACTTGGTTTAAGCGCTATGATATTTTCTCTGCGTTTTTTATTTCTATTTTGGTCTCTTTCATGCAAAATAAAATTTATTTTCTGTACAGAGAAATCAATATTTTTACCATCTTGTTTTCAGCTATTCCAGTAAATTGCAATCAACATTTGTTACAATCTTTAAAGAGATGTAGTAAGAATTTGAACACAATAAAATAGAGATACAGATTAGAACTTTGGCAAAGTACCTTTGCTATTGACAAAAGCATTTGTCAGGAACTGTGGCTGTGTCTATATTGTGCTAAAAACCTGATGAAGAGGAAAAAAAGCATCAATAGGTTTCACCTTCTGTCTATACAAACCAAACAAATGATCTAACTAATAGCTACCGTTTTAAGTGAATAGATTTGGTATATCGTTGCAAATTTTATTCCATTTAGAAATGTATTTTAATTAACATTCGCATATCTAATATATACATATTTGGAAGGGGTATTTGTGCTCTTGTGTTCTTTTTAATAATGAATGGAATCTGATACCTAGACTATTGGTCCAGGAATGAATAAAATCCTCGTTACAGTATACATGAAACAATCTCAAATGCACATTTGTTTGTTGATAAAATTTACATTTATATCCTCACATTTTTCTCTTCGGTGACCTAACAGGCTTTCTTATTTGTATGTTTTCCTTTTAGAAATTGCCAAGTTTTGGACCTTATCTTGAGCAGCGCAAGAAAATCATAGCAGAGAACAAGATTAAACTGAAAGAAGAAAATGCAGCTTTTCTACCACTCAAGAGAAACTATTTTACCCCTAAAAAGCCTATTCCTACTATGAAGGTAAAAATTAAGCCGTGTATAAAAGTATGTCTATTTTGCTGTTTAAATATACAGTACAGTTTAAATGTTCATTTGCTGTTTAAATGTGTCACTTCCACCTGGATAGTCTGCACAAGCGGCACAGTGGCCACCCCATCAGACTTTGAACTGAGTCTCATTCCTTCGAAATCCGCTCTTCTCCTGGGTCCTGTGTCTCCATGAACAGCACCCTATCCGCCCTCTTTTCTAAGCCAGAAGCCTGCAATTCAGCCTAGATTCCATCCTCTCCCTCATCCCGTTCATGAGTCTGTCACTGATGTTTTCATCCCTCACGTCGCCCTCCTGTTCTGTTCTTTCCCACTGCAGAGGCCTTAATGCAGGTCTTTATACATTATTTCCGGGGATTCTGAAATATTCTACCAATATTCTGACCTCCTATCCTCTTCATTCAGGTCTTTATACATTATTTCCGGGGATTCTGAATATTCTACCAAATATTCTGACCTCCCATCCTCTTCATTCATTCTTCTCTAATGTATCCTCAAACTATTATGGAGTGTTTTTTTAAATGCAAATCTGATTACTTCACCTCTCGCTTAAGATTCCCACACCTTAACCATAGCCTTGCAAACTCCTGAGCATCACTTCTGGATCCTTTATATACATATATTTTATTATTATTATTATTATTTTCAGACCCTTTATGTTTTAGCTCATCTTGGCCTAAGCAGCGTCAGTGGAGTGGCGAAAAATGGGACCTGGGAGGTGGTAAACTGAAGAGTGAGTTGAGAAAGTAAGAAGGTGTACGGAATACTCTTTCGGGAACTTTGGAAAAATCAGAAGGAACATATAAGAGGAAACAGAGAGTGAGGGAAAGGTTGTTTTGTTCATGTTAAAGTCGTCTAGGGTTGGGCGCGTTTATACACTAGGAGAGAATAGCTAAAGCTACGGGAGGGAGTGATTATGGAAACTACATCCTTTGCAAGTAGGGAGAGAATGGAACCCAGATGATACATTAAGTCATTCGGGATCAAAGGAGTGACAGCTCTCATGATTTTCTACCTATCGCATGCCTTATGCATTTAATAAAGCTGAATGTGGAATTACCAGTGTCATTTTAGTAAGTAGCCATGTTTAAAGAAAGTGACCATTAAAAAAACCTTAAGAAGCTATTTCATTCACTGAAAAACATAATGAAGTTTGTGAGATGTTAGCAGATGACATCTGTGGAGAAGAGTTTCTGGAACTAAGTGTGGGGCCACTCTGTCCCATTAACTGGATTTAAATTACGACACCGCCATTTGGTAGCTGCGTGAACTTGCCTCAGTTAGCTCATCTGTGAGACGGAGATAATAAAAGTGACTGCTTCATGAGCTTATAAATTAAGGAATGTGTGGAGTGCTTTTAGTCTGTGCCAAATATGTCCTAAATAAATGTGGGCTACTGTTCGTTATTATGTCAGGAATGGACAGATTGAAGGAGATAGTAAGTTAAGGTGACTCTCCATTTCTATTTTGTCCAATAAAATGAACTTAAGAATGAAAGTAGGAATACATAACACTCTGGAGGCCGACCGAGTCAGAAGTTCTGAAGAAGCTCATATATTTTCCGGGAAGTTTTTATTGCATACTTACCATGACACAGAATTGGGTATCTATAGTACAATAAATAAATAAAACAGACACAGCCTCTGTCCTCATGAAGCATACAGAATAGAGAAAGAAACAGATATTAAACAAAGAATCACACTAATATAAAATTACATTTATGATATGAACTATATAGACAAAATATAGGATGTATGAAGTCTCTTTCCTAGCCAGACCTAATTTAGATTGAAGGGACCGAAGAAGGCTTCTCTGAGGTAGTGGCATTTAAGGAGACCTATGGCTGGAGTAGGGATTAGCAGGATAAGGAGAAAACGTTTGTTCCAGCTAACCCATAAGGTGGTCCCAGAAATGGTGAGTGACCATGTTTATGGGGACAGAGTCAGAGATGACATTGATTACATGAAGTAACATATTTGTTACTTCTTCCTTTAAGACTTAGATATTCTTGTTATATATTGAGGGATAAGGAGTTGAAAATAAGGAGACTAAAATGATTAGATGTTTGATGGTCCCACTGAAATTAATAAAAGATTATGAATCAGGGTTTTGTTGTTAGTGTTTTTAGGTTTAATGGAGTTTGTTGTTTGTTGTTGTTGTTTTGATACTGGATGAAAAGTTTTAGCATATTGAAAAGAGATTTGAACATATTGAAATTAATGAACTCTAGTGACTTATGGGTCTATGCTAGAGGATATAAAGAAAAAAAAGACTAATATGTTGACTTCCTACTGTGTGCCAGCTCAAGATAGAAGCTTCACATATATTTTGTCACTTCTTAACCTAATACCCTACGAGGGAGCAGAAGGAATGGAGAAGCAAATGAGAATAAACGATCAAAGACATAGGCGAACAACCAGAAGAAAATGATGATGTGGGGGAAACCAGAAAAGGAGGAAGTGTTAAGAATGAGGAAGTGGTCTTCAGGTCAGAAATTACTGCTCATCTTAGCAAAACCTCATGTTGTTTCATTTTGTCTTCATACATAACCACTGAGATTCCAACCTCCAGCTGGCAACCGTTGTCGGATTCACCCATACATCCGTCTCGTCATTCATCCAGCAATTGTTAACGTGCAGCCACTGCATTCCAGCACTGCTATAGTCATAAGCGACTGAGTAGTGAACAAAATTGAAAGCCCAGCTCTTGTGGCACTTACATTTTAGTCAGGAGAAATAGACGATCAACAAATGAACAAATGAATACATATTATGTCACATGGTCACAGTGCTATGGAGAAAATACAGAAGGATTAGGCGACTAGGAACTGCTAAAAAGGTTGGTCAGGAAATGTCTGCCTGATTAAACGTCATTTGAGTAAATATTTAGGAAAGCGAGAGTGAACGATGTGGCTAGATATCCGGGGGAAGAACATTCCATTCAGAAGGAGCAGAAAGTGCAAGACCCTGAAGTAGGAAAGTCCTTGGCAGGAAAGGAAGAATGATATGACCTAACTTAATTTTTCAAAGGCTCGTTCTAGCCGTGGGATTGATACAAAATCTGAGCTGAGCAAGGGCAGAAACAGGGAGACCAGTCAAAGGGCTATTGTAACAATCCAGGCCAGTGACTGGCAGGAGAGAGAGTAAGCACCAGATAATGTCAGAAGGCCACAACTCCATTGTTTTAGATAAAATAATGTGTGTGGAAATATTAAAGACAGCATAGTTCCATTCAAATGTAAGAGCCATGCTTACTGTCATTTCCATACAAGGCTTTGCCCCTTCGCCCATTATTCCAGACCTCGTCTGGATGACGTGGCCGTGTGGTTATTCAGGCCATGTGGTTATTCAGTTATTCATGTGGTTATTAACACCGTGTGCCCTTTAAGAGTCGTTTTCTCTCTGTATGTGAATCAGACATCGCTTCTTGATCTTTATGGTTTTATTCTTGCACACATTCCCAGGCACAGCAGGTACTGCCCTCTACTGCTTTATTTTGACTTTCGTGTTCTCCTTACAGAGTTTCTGTTCTTGACATACCATTTTTCCTTCTTCCTTTTTTTTCCTGGAGGGCCCGGGTTATCTATTTCTGTGCTTAATATTTTCTCTGTCCACCCATCTGTTTATTTTAGCTTGTTTCTTCCCTTCGCTCTGCTGGCCTCTTTATAGATTCCTCTGTTCAATAGTTTAAACTCCATGACACTGCTTTGTTTATCCTCTCAGCTAGCACAGGATATTATTCCCCATCTGCTGTAGACAGAGTCCCAGTGCCCCACAAAGTTAACTAACCCCCTCTTGTCTGAACAAGATTTTCAGTCATGCATTATCTACCCCCATCTTTCCTGGTTATGAGTGTAACAATATTATTTCTAAGAAACCCATGCTCAATAGATCTCTTTTTGTTGTTGTTCTTTTCCTTTCAAATGCCTCAGATGAGATTTAATGGTCTATTGCCTCAGAAGTAGGCAGTTTCAATATCAGTCAATCAGTAAGTATTTATTGAGTATTTGCTATGTGGCCAGCAGTGCAGTAAAGACTGGCTCTGTGTCCAAGACGAGGCATGATCCATGGCTTAGGGGTTTTCCCAATCTGGGAGAGATGTAGCACGAGCATATATTTATTATGCGCTCACTGCAATCCAGGAACTGTGCTAGAAACTAGGAATACAACATGAATTTTAAAAAGAAAGAAATCTATCCTTATGGAGCTCATAGTCTAACAAGGGAGAAAGACACATGTTAAAAATTATTTACAGTTCAATCAAATATGTACAAAATGCTCTGGGAACACAGAGGAGTGAAAGGGATTAGTTATGCCTCGGGTAATTGTGGAAAGCTTCACAGAGATGGTGATATTTAACATGGAGTTTAATAAATTAGTGTTAATTAAGCAGAGAATTAATAATAAAAGCTAATATTTATTGAGTCCTTATGAGGTTTCAGGCACTGTTCTTCGTGTTTGCGAATTAACTCATTTAATCCTCACAATAACCTTATCAGGTACCTATATTTTCTCTATTTTACTGATGAAGTAATTAACAAACAGAGAGGTTAAATAACTTGCTCAAGATCACACAGCTAAGAAAGTATCAAACCCAAGATTTTCTTTCAAACTCTGGCTCTAGAACTGAAGCACTATCCTCTGCTGGTAAGGAAGGTGGCATTTCAAGCAAATTAGTATGTTTGAAAAGCATAGTGTTCCTACATACTTGGAACAACATGCAGCCACAGGACCTTACATCCAATGTACAAGCCCTGGATTGACTGGGTAGCAGCGTCAAAGTGGTAATCTCATTCTCTGTTCAATAGGAATTCATAGAAATGACAGAATTGCAGACAGTAGTGAGGAAAATCATCTAATTTTCTTGATCATTCTCAAAAACGTGATGTCAAAGGGTAAGAGGATGTAAACATTAAGCTGCTAAGAACTTCAGGTAGAGCATCAAGAGTAGTTATTCACTGTCGTACTGTGACCA